CAGGAGCCACAGCCACGCCTGTCCCTGCCACGGCTGGAACGGGAGGGAGCACTGTCCTTGTCCCTGCAGAGCATCCCACTGTCCCCGGTGCCATCCCAGTGTCCCTAAGGCCATCCATCCCAGTGCCCATGACACCATCCATCCCGATGCCCCTGACGCCATGCTGCTGTCCCCGGCGGGTCCCACCTGAAGCAGTCGGCGTGCCAGTCAGCCTTCAGTGCCTGCAGGTACTGCCCATCGTAGATGCCCTGCCCACAGCTCGCACACACCGGCAGGTCGCTCCCTGCAGGCGGGGAACACCAGGGGACAGCGCTGTCACCCGGCCAGCCCGGCCCTGCCACCCACGGCAGCAGCCGCGATGAAATCCCTGTGCCCGGGGGTGAATTCCATCCCACACCCATCGATCCCCCAGCGGCTCAAGGTCGGGGCACCCATGGCCCCAGGGCTGGCAACAGGGCAGGGTGGGATGGGGGCACACGGTGGGTGCAGGGATGGGATGGGGGCACAGAGTGCAGGGAGGGTGAAGAGGGGCAGGATGGGGGCACCAAGGCATCCAGGCAGGATGGCGGGGTATGGGATGAGTGGTGGGTGCCTGGGGGGACAGCAGGATGAGTGCTGGGGTGTCCTGGGGGACAGTGGGGTGCAGAGTGGGTGATGGAGGATGCAGAAGGACACACAGGGATGCTGGAAGGGTGCTGGGGGATGAATGGGGGCACAGAGGGAGATGCTAGAGGGGTGCTGGGGGATGAATGGGGGTCAGAGAGGGATGCTGGAGGGGTGCTGGGGGATGCAGGAGAGCATAGAGGGGTGCAGAGGGTGCTGGGGCACGCACAGCCCATGGGGGAACACAGGGCGTGCAGAGTGGGGGATGAATGGGGGACACACAGAGGGGTGCAGAGTGGCTGCAGGGGGGTGCAAGTTCTTGGGGTGTGTGGGGAGGTATGAGGGGCCCAGTGCAGGGGGGAAAGAAGGCATAGCAGAGATCTGGGGGGGCAGACAGGGATGCAGGCTGGCTGCACAGTTCTTGACAAGGAGGATGGGGGAGATTTGGGGGTGTAGGGGGGAATGCAGTTGGGTGGCAGTACAAGGAAGAATGGCGGGGATGGAGGCTGAACTGGGGGAACAGGGAAGATCTGGGGGTGCGGAGGGGATGCAGGGGGAACGGGCTGCACGGGGACATTTGGGGGTGTGGGGAGGATGCAGGCTGGATGGGGTGCAGGGGGATGCAGGCCAGGGGAGTGATGCAGGGTGGGGTGCAGTGGAGGATGCAGTGGGTGCTGTGAGCTGGATGAGTGAGAGGGGCAGGGGGTGCAAGAGGCGTGCGGGACGGCTGGGGAGCGCAGGGGACGTGTGGGGGGCACGGGAGATGAAAGGTGCGGGACGGGCGCTCCAGAGGGGGATGCAGGGATGGAGGGTGATGCAGGGGGGCTGTGGGGAGATACAGGCTGGATGGGGGGACAGGGAATGTCGGGGCGCAAGGGGGATGCAGACCAGAGGGATGCAGTTGGGGATGCAGGGGGGGATGCGGGCACACGGGGACATTTG